ACACTTCTAGTAACACATGATCTTCCAAGACTGAATGAGAGAAAAACACTATCTCAACAGACTGATTACTACCAACCAAAATCAATTCAGTAATCAAAAACCTCCCAAGAAATGAAAACACCTAGACTGGATGTCTCATGGGTTAATTTTACTTTACGTTCAAAGAAGAATTAACACCTCTTCTACTCAAACTATTCCAAAAAATTCAGGGGAGGGAAGGCTCCCAAGCTCATTTTATGAGGCCATCATTACCCTGATTCAAAGTTTGACAAAGACATTACAAAAACGATAATTATAAACCAATATCTGTAATGAACATAGGTCAAAAGCCCTCAACAAAATATTGGCAAACTGAATTTGGTAATACATTAAAAATATTTTTTTAATGACCAAGTAGGAGTTACTCCTGGAATGCAAGGTTGCTTCTATATATACAAATCAATTAATGTGATCTACCACATTAACAAAATGGATAAAACTCATATGATCATATCAATAGATGCAGAAATAGCATTTGACAAAATTCAGCACTGTTTTATTATAAAAACTTAGGAAATTGGGAATGAAAGGAACATACCTCAATATAATGAAGGTCATATATAACAAACCCACAGCTAACATCACTTCCAACAGGAAAAATTTAAAAGTACTTAAGGTTAGGAACAGGACAAGGATGTCCATTTTTTACCACTTTTATTCAACATAATACTGGAAGTCCTGGCCACAGCAATGAGACCAGAAAATGAAATAAAAGCATGCAAATTTGAAGGGATGAAGTAAAACTGTTGCTTCCTTCAGCAGATGTACTAAAATTGGAACAGTGCAGAGATTAGCATGGCCTCTGGGCAACGATGACATGCAAATTCATGACACGTTCCATATTTAGGGGGTTAAGAATACCAATTGGCAGTTAAAAAATAGTCATGTGGATGTGGAATACAACATGGGGAATATAGTCAGTAATATTTTAATAACTATGATGTCAGATGGGTACTAGATATATCAGGGTGATCACTTTTTAAGGAGTTGGGAAAACTGGACAGGTGCATGTAAAAAAGAAACTAGACTACTTTCTTAAACTGGATACAAGAATAAACTCAAAATGAATTAAAGACTTACATGTAAGACCTGATACCATAAAGCTTCTAAAAGAAAACCTAGGCAGTAAACTCTCTGACATTAATCTTACTAATATTTTTTCTCATGTATCCCCTTGGACAAGGCAAACAAAATTAAAAATAGAGAAATGGAACTACATCAAACTAAAAAATGTTTGCATGGCAAATGAAACCATCATCAAAACAGAACGACAACCTACTGAATGGGAGAACATATTCATCAATGATACATCCAATAAGGGGTTAATATCCAAAATTTATGAAGAACTCATACAACTTAACACCAAAAATCAAACAATGCAATTAAAAAGTGGGCAGAGGACCTAAAATGACATTTCTTCAGAGGACATACAAATGGCCAATAGATATATGAAAAGATGCACAATGTCTTTAATCATCAGAGAAATACAAATTAAAAAATGAGATATCCATCTCAGGCCTGTCAGAATGGCTGTCATCAATAAATCAACAAACAGGTGTTGGTAAGGATGTGGAGAAAAAGGAACTCTCATGCACCGTTGGTCATATTGCAAATTGGTGCAGCCACTGTGGAAAACAGTATGTGGAGTTTCTTCAAAAAATTAAAAATAGAATTACTTTATTACCCAGCAGTTCTACCTCAATACTTTTTTTTAAATTAATTTTATTTTTTTATTGTTCAAATACATTTGTCTCCATTTTCCCACCACCACTTTCCCCTATCTCCCCCCGCTTCCCCCCCGCCCCCAGCAATCCTTTCCCACTTTGGCTTTGTCCATGGGTCCTTTCTACCTCAATACTTATCTGAAGAAATCCAAAACACTAATTTGAAAAGATAAGTTCATTGCAGCATTATTTACAATAGCCAAGATATAGAAGCAACCCAGCTGCCCATCAGTTGCTGATTGGATGAAGGAGAGGTGACATATTTGGCCATAAAAAGGAAATCTTACCATTTGTAACAGCTTTGGATGGACTTAGAAGGTAATATGCTAAATGAAGTAACATAGGGAAAGAAAAATAATACAAGATTTCACTTACATGTGGAATCTAAAGAACGAAATAAATGATCAAACACAACAGAAACAGACTCATAGACACAGAGAACAAACTGATGGTTGTCAGATTCGAGGGAGTTGGGGAGCTTTTTTAAAAATGTGAAGCAATGAAGTACAAATTGTCAGTTACAAAATAGTCATGGGGATGTAAAGTACAGCATAGGGAATATATTCAGTAATCTTATAATAATTATGTATGGTGTCAGATAAGGTAATAGATTTATTGGGGAATCACTTCATTAATTATATAAATGTCTAAATACTATTGTATGCCAGAAACTAATATAAAATAATGTGGAATTTATTAATATACTGTAATTGAAAAAAAAGAAAAATGAAAATTCTCAGATCTGCTGAATCAGAAACTATGGGTGTGACTTACGTTTTAACAAGCCTGAAGATGATTTTCTTTCTTTTTTTTTTTTTTTAAAGACTTTATTTATTTTTAGAGCGAGAGGAAGGGGGGGAGAAAGAGAGGGAGAGAAAAATCAATGTGTGGTTGCCTCTCGCGCACCCTCTACTGGGGACCTGGCCTGCAACCCAGGCATGTGCCTTGACTGGGAATTGAACCAGCAACAGTGACCCTTTGGTTTGTAGGCCATTGCTCAGTCCACTGAGCCACACCAGCCAGGGCACAAACCTGCAGGTGATTTTCATACAGGCCCAAGTGTGGGAATCATTGGTTATTACCATAGGCTGTTTCTTTTCATAGTTATTCCTCAAAGCTAGGTTTCTTCATTCTGTTCAGTGGTGGGTGGTACTTCAGAACTCTAACATGCACCGCCTTTAACAATAATCACCAGGACTTCAATTGCTAAGCACTTTAAAGGATTATCTCATTGAATTCCTTATAACATCCCTATAAGATAAGTACTTTTATTCCTAACCATATAGATATGGAAGTTGGGAGCCACAGATTTAAGTACCTTGCCCGAGTGCAGAGCCAAACCTCAAACTCAGAAGTCGTAAATTCAGTGCAGAACATATTTTCCTTTAATTCTGTTGAATGAAATTTCCTAATATCATTTATAACATATGAATTTGGTACCTAAAACCACCTGGGTGTTTCTGTTTTGTTTTGCTTTTTTGGTTTTTTTACCCAAAGATATTTTTTCATTGCTTTTAGAGAGAGGGGGAAGGATAGAGAAATATTGATGTGAGAAAGAAACATGGATTGGTTGCCTTCTCATATGCGCCCCGACCAGGGATCGAACCTACAACCTGGGCATATTCCTTGACCAGTAATCGAAACTTTTGGTTTATGGGACAGTGCTCCAACTAACTAAGCCACACTGGCCAGGGCCCACCTGTTTTTATAATATAAAGAAAAGACTAGCTCTGGCTGGTGTGGCTCAGTGAATTTAGTGCCAGCCTGTGAACCAAAAGGTTCAATTCCCAGTCAGGACAGATGCCTGGGTTGCAGACCAGCTCCCCGGTTTGGAGTGTGCAGCAGGCATCTGGTCAATCTATCTCTCGCACATCGATGTTTCCTACCTTCTATTTCTCTCTCCCTTCCCTTCTCTCTAAAAATAAAATCTTTAGGAAAAAGAAATGACTTTTTTAAAAATTATTTTCCAAAAGCTAAATAATGTAAGGGGGAAAAATGACATAAATAAGTACAGAAGGTACATTATCAGTGATTCAGAGAATAGTTTATGAGGATTTACTAGTATACAGTAGTTTCTAATCCTCAGCATTAAAATAAAACAAAAGTCGACCTAATGTGATTTGGAGTTGGAGAGTCCTGGTCCCTTTGTATTTTCTGCGTGTACCTGGGCAAGTGATAATAATGTTTCTGAGCCTCCGACTTCTCACTCATAAAATGGAGATAATGATAACTCTCACAGGGTGATTGAGGATTAATAAGATTACATGTGTAAAGTGTTTACCTTGGAGCCGGACACATAGTAGGTTTTCCATAATAAATGTTGGGTCTACTGCTATTAATAATCCTACTAGAGCTTAAGAAAAGAATATTCAGGCCTTCTTCCTTTTCACCGAACCCTGCCAACATGGTGTCCAGGTGCTTCCTGGAGGCTGGGTGGGTGGCCTACATCTCCTTTGGGCCTCATGCCGGAAAGCTGGTCACAGTTGTAGATGTTATTGATCAGAACATGGCTTTGGTCGTTGGGTCTTACACTCAAATAAGGAGACAGGCTTTGTCTTTGAAATGCATGTAGCTCACTGACTTTGTCCTCGAGTTCCCACAAAGTGCCTGCCAGAAGTATCTCCCAACAAGCCTGGCAGAAGGCAGATATCAGTACAAAATGGGCAGTCATACAATGGGCAAAGAAGATTGAAGCGAGAGAAAAGAAAGCCAAGATGACTGACTTTGATCGTTACAAAGCATGAAGGCAAAGAAAATGAGGAACTGAATAATCAAACCTGAAGTTAGAAAGCTTTAGAAGGCAGCTCTTGTGAAAGCTTCTCCTGAAAAAGCACATGCTGCTAAAGGTGCAGCTGCTGCAAAGGTTCCAGCAAAAAAGGTAACTGTTGCAGCCAGAAGACAGCACCCCAAAAGTTCAGAAGGGTCTGAAAGCTCCAGCCCACAAAGCACCTACTCCAAAGGTGTCTGGCAAGAAAGCATAAGAACATAGGAGGCTATTATAACAGTTATAAAGGTTCTTTTTACATGCTGGAAAAGAAAAAGAAAAAGAAAAAATCTTTAAAGATTTTAAAGTATCTCCCTGACCTTAAGGCAGTGTTTTAAGGAAAATGAGTATAATGAAAGAAGGGCTTAGGTCTTAATAAATCAGGCCACTATTTAGAATTGGGTGTGTTTTTGTTTCTATCATAGTTTGAGATGAACAGTATTTTATCTTTCTCTTTTCCTTCTCTCTGGCAGACTGATTTCCGATTCTACTGGATGCATTCAAAGTTACCAGAAGAAGAAGGACTGGGAGAGAACACCAAGCTCAACCCTGTAAGGCCTGGGGTTAGGGTTGCAGATTTCTTTATGGGATTGGTTTGGATTGGTCTATTATCTAAATATAATCCTTATGAATGAAATTACTTATTTTTGAGACAGTATGACATAATGGGAAGGTTATAGGCTTAACAGTCATCCAGGTCTGGATTCCGGTTTTGGCTTTAGGATAAGTTAAAAACATCACTTGGCCTTAGTTTCTTCATTTGTATAATAGGTTTAAAAACTCCCACTTTACAGGGTTATTCTAAGAACCTAGTGATAAAAATAGGCACCTCCTCCTAGCACATCCTACTTATGGTAGGCTCTCAATAAATAGTTGTTGATGTAAAATGCTAATAACTGCTTTTATTAATGAAGTATTTAGAATTCTGGTACCTTGGTTCACAACTGTGGCATGCATCAGCAGTACCAAGAGGCCTGGTAAAAAAGCTTCTCAGTCTCAGTACCAGAGTTTCTGATTAGAATTTGCATTTCGAACAAGTTCCCCAGTGATGCTGAAACTGCTGGTCCATGAACCACATTTTGATAACCTCCGCTTTTATATCGGAGCTGAGAGTGACCTCATCTAGTCAGTTCCCTTATTTTACAGGTGAGAATACAGGCTCAGCGAGGGACTGCTTTCCCTAAGGTCCCACAGTACAAGATGATGGCCCAAGTGTTTGTTATCTGCTCAGTGATTAAATAGGTGACAGCTGTTTTGAGGGCATTTTATTAGGTAAGCTCTGCAGATTGGTGTTTGCCTGGATTGCTTACAACATTTCTAAAGGCAAATGGATAACAGTTACAGGACAATAAAAGGGGTCAGTATAGTACTTCCACTGATGTATCAATAAGGTCCTGGAAAAATGTGCATTGAGGAAGGAGAGCATGAGAGCTATTCTAAGTGTCCTACATGTATTATCTCATTGTATCCACACAACAACCCTATTAAGTAGATACTTTATTATCCCATTTTACAGATGGAAAAATGGAGGCATGTAGACATGAAATGATTGGCAGAGCTGGGAGTCAAACCTAAGCAATCTGAGTTTGTTGTCCTTATCACTTTCTTATATTGCTTTAGTCTAAAAATCCTGGCTGCTGGGAAAGAAGTTTCACTACTCCTTCATTAGAAGCAACGGTCAGAGGCCTGAGAGGGGAATAACATACAATCCCTAAAGCTAACACAGGACCGTGTGGTTCTTCATCCTGACTGCATGTTAAAACTAAGCGGCGAGCTTACCAAAAAAAATGCCTGGGCCTCTCCAAAACTTCTTCACTCAGAAATGTTTGAGTTCCCCAAATGATTCTCCTGTGTAAAGTAAGGTTGAGAACCGCTGACCTAGTAATCCAGTGGGTAGATGGAGGGGAGGTGGTTTGGAAGGAAGAGACTGGAACTTTTCTTCTTTGATACAGCTTTTCAGTTGCTGGAACAATATTTACTAATTCTTTGTTCTAATTTGCATTCCAGTTTAAATTCGTGGGGCTAAAGAATTTTCCGTGTACCCCTGAGAGCCTATGGAAGGTGCTGTCTATGGATTTTCCTTTTGAGGTAACAAAACCATTGCCTTTATTGTTCTCATGTGATTACATGACACAGGGAAGCATGGTTACACAGAGTCTTAAGATACCTTCTGACTTTGCTGTGCCCAAGCATCAGAAAAGGGTTAAAAGCTAATTGTTGGGAAGAGATGCACTCACTATCACATAAGTCAATGCCTGAGCTGGAAGGGCCCTGCATAGACAACTTATTTCACTCCTTCATTTTATAGATGCAGTAACAGAGATTGGGTCAGGGCTTCCATTCCTAGGTTGTTCTTTGTGTCTGCCTGCTGTAAGCCTGAGAGCCAGGCCATTTGTTTGACTGCCATGGCTGGTTGTAAAGTCTAGAGGGGCTTCTGTGACCACAGGGGTGTGAACTTCTAATCCTTCCTTGGGAGAGCAAACAGTCCCTATGTATGTCGGTGCTTGCAGAGCAGTGACATGGGGTAGATGACCAGCTTGTCCCAGGTTGAGTCCCAGACTTTCCCAGTCTTAGTGTTGAAAGTCTCACATCTCCAGAAGCTCCTCAGTCTTGGGCAGTCTTTTGTCAACCTTAGAAGCTGCAGTTATTCTCTCCAGGATCAGCAAGCAAACTTTCCTTTACCCATCATACCCTTTAAAATTCTTCCCAGGCACCCACAAGTTTTTGCTTGAACTGGATATAATTTTGCAGAAAGGATCACAGCTTCCCACATGAGAAAATGGCAAAGGCTACTACATTGCCATCATTTCTGGAAGACAATTAAGAAGGTGCTAAGAACACCATCTTTATTTGTAGCTCTTATGCTGTAAATAAAGTGATAAGAAATGGTTTTAGAGATGAGTCCATGACTCCTGGAAAAGAAAATTTTGGACTACAGAAGGTCTTCCTGCTGAGAAAAACTGAGTTTCCAAGAACATAGCTCACAAACAGTTTAGGGGGAGGTTTAGGCAGCCAGCAGTGGCTTGGGGAGCATGGCTTCTTGATAGCCAGTTTCTCCTGTGCTCAGTAGTCCAGCATCTCTTAAGGGTCTGTCCAATTCCCCTGCTTTGTTCCCTCTGTGGAACACATACCCGACTATGACCCTCTGGGTGGTGGAAGTGCCTGGGCTTTGGAGAGTGAAGACCTGGGGTCAGTTGAATTTCTGCTTCATACTCACTGTGTGTTTTTAGAGAATCCACCAGAACTTTGAGCCAGCCCCATCTCGAAAATACCCTCATGGTAGGTAAAAGGGTAAAATAGTGGTAGGAAAACACCCTATAAAAAGGAAAGTGCTATTTATGTTTTATTTTCTAAAATTTAGTTTTCTAGGCCATTTCTTCATATAGAGAAATTGTATGTGTGAGAAATGAGAACTCTCTCATTTGGCAGTGAAACAGAAAAAGGATTGGGACCACAAGAGCTGCTCTGTGTATATAGGTTGTCCTGGAAACATGTGGCCCCAGCAGTCATTTTGATTCCTGGTTTCCCTTCTTGTAGGTAGATGGACTTCTCTTCTACCACAGGCAGACGCACTATAGCCCTGGAAGCACTCCTCTGGTGGGCTGGCTGCGCCCATACATGGTGTCAGATATTCTTGGTGTGGCTGTGCCAGCTAGCCCACTGACCACCAAGCCGGAGTATGCTGGGCACCAGCTCCAGCAGATTATAGAGCACAAGAGGAGCCAAAAGGAGGGCATGAAAGAGAAACCCACACACAAGTCCTTTGACAACGGGCACTATGAGCTGGAGCACCTGTCTACCCCTAAACTGAAGAGCAATCCCCACAGCCCACACCAGCCCAGGACCCTCATGGAGAACTAAAGAGGGCAGCCTTTTTTGGGAGTCAAGGGACAGTGCTCAGTCCCAGAAGGAAGGTTGGGGAGGAGGACAGTGACAACCGGTGACTTTATTTTAGAGTGGACTTTCCAAATCTGCTCCACTGGAAACAGCTTAATTCCTGTAAAAAAGTGTATCCTGGATCCACAATGTAAATATATGTGATTCTTAAAAGAACTGGTGATTCTTTATTTTAACAGTTGTACAGGTGAGTGTATCAATCTGGAGGGTTGCTTTTGTGATCTACAAGCCAAACACTTGCCCTGGTTCATGTGGCTCAGTTGGGTATAGTGTCACCCTGTAACCAAAAAGTTGCTGGTTTGATTCCCAGTCAGGGCACATCCCTAGGTTGTGGGTTTGGTTTCTGGTCTGGTTGAGTATGGGAGACAACCAATTGATGTTTCTCTCTCTTTCTCTCTAAAAGCAATTTAAAAAAAAAAAATGTTCTCAGGTGATGATAAAAAGTAAATAAAAATAAAAGCCAAGAACTGGTGACTCTTAAATCTTGAACTCCCAGGCTCCCTAAACCATGGCCTGTTTCACTCTGGTTTTAGCACTTAAGCATTCTGCTTAGTTTCCAGTTGCTACTGTTGCTAACAACGTCATTTTCTAAAAGGTCTTACCAGGAACTGCAGTTCCTAGTAGTTGAATATCTTCTCTCTTCTGAGAAGACAGGTGTGATTTTCTTTGGTTTAGACATTGCCAGAGATAAAATGCAAATGGTGTTCATTTCACTACTTCACCAAAGTTGGAGCACCTTCCAGCAAATAAGCCCTGTGGCTAGGCCTCTGTGATGTAGAGTGGGTTATGGAGATAAAGAGGACCAGTGAGAAAATAAACCCACCAGCATAGAGCGTGAGTGAAGATGGTAAGCTGACTGCTATAGTATAGAAAGGACCATAGAGCCTTGGGGGCTGGGAAGAGCAGAAGGAGATTTCACAGAGGAGGTCAGAGCAGGGCTGAGGCTTAGAGGAGGGACAGAAATGTGCTCTGCAGACAAGGAGATTAGGAGTTCCTCGTAGAGGCAGGAATGTACACAGTTGCACTCCTGCAGGGCAGGGTAGGGCAGGACTTGCTGTGGGACCTGAAGTTGGCTCAGAGTAGCTTAAGCATAATGTAGAATTGGAGGGCTGTGGGAGAGGAAGCTAGAGAGATGGGCCTGATTGTGCTATGCAGAGGTTTTGGATTTTATGTCATGACTGTAAAGGAGCCGTGGAAGAGCTTTGAGGAGACAAGATCCATTCAGACTTATGAAATAGAGTTCTTTGCCAGCTGTTGGAATGAAGGAAGATGGTGTTTGCTCTGTGTTCAGGAAACATGTCTCATTTCCTATTGAGTGTAATTGCCCCCAACTGCTTTCCACCTTACTAGGACTTACTGGACAGAGTAATTCACTATTCCACTCCAGCAGCAGTGGTGTCCTGTGGACTAAATATATTATAGAGAGATCCAGGTCAGATGTGTGACATGCAGTTGTTCCTTTGTGTTGATTAATTCTGGGAACAAATGTTGGCCAAACTTGTGGTTGAATGGAGCATAATTATAGATTCAACACACTAGTTGAAGGACTTGACCTTCCTGCTGGGCTCTTATACTCTATCAAACCAACTCTGTCAAACCCGAGAAGAAGCCCTGACTGGTGTGGTTCAGTAGATTGGGTGCCATCCCGCAAACCAAAAGGTCCCAGGTTCGATTCCCGATCGGGGCACATGCTTGGGTTGCAGGCCAGGTCCCCAGTTGGAGGCATGCAAGGGGTAACTGATCGATGTTCCTCTCCCACTCTTTCTCCCTCCCTTCACCTCTCTCTACAATAAATATTTTTTAAAAAATCTGAGAAGTAGCCTCCTCCCTCACACCCAGTGATGTTCCTGCTGGCTGCAGACTTCAGCATGTCTACATCAATAAGCTCTTTTCCTGAATTCCAGTAGGGTCAATTCTGCAATAGGAACCTCGTGTTCCTCTTGTCAAGAAGCATGTTATTGGCTGCCTAGGTGTTTCATCTATTATCACCTCTCTTCTGAATGCTGTAGCCTGTATTCTCAGCAGTCAGCTGTGTCATTTCAGGAGCAGTGCATGCTAGCTAGCATCAGTGAGACTTGGCTGGGCTCTGCCCAGAAATAACCAGGTCTGGAAGGACTGCTTCCCCCAAAGGACACTCTGAGGAGAGATACGTGAGTCAAAGAATGTATCAGCTGAAATTATCACCAATGCACAACTTGATATTGTTGAATGGTTGCTAGAAGGATGTAGCAGAGGAGTGCCCCTTCTGTTTTTAACTGAAGAGCCAGTATTGTCAATTACTGAATGGAATGTATATCCTGGTCATGTGTCTTTGTGAAATGCCACCTGTTACAAAGATGTTTGTGTTATACAGTAGTGTGATTGGCTATTAGTTTTCAGGCCACTCTTCTGAACAGCTCCCAGCTTCTTTTTTGTGGAATTATTCCTTCCCCAGGCACTATGGTATGGTGGGAGTATAATTTGGGCAAACTCCCTTCCTTAGCCAAGCATCAGGCTCATGACTCAATTTGAGACAATCATATGCTCCTCACCAAGAGTTTGTGTCTTGAGCAGAGGAACAAAGGGAGTGATCAGTAGTAATTCATTTATTTGGCCCACGGAGGGGCTGAGCGTGTTTCTTGTTCTTGCTACAAAACCTATAAACATCCAGTTATTTTTGTCTTATTTAAAGTAGCCAGAGCTGCCTTAGGTGGTGAGGCTCAGTGGATTGAGTGCCAGCCTGAGAACCAAAGGGTCACTGGTTTGATTCCCAGTGTAGGGCACATGCCTGGGCTGCAGGCCAGGACCCCAGCAGGGGACGCACGAAATGCATCCACACATTGATGTTTCTCTCACTCTCTTTCTCCCTCTCTAAAAATAAATCAATAAAAAAATCTTAAGAAAAAAAATTTTTTTAAGTAGCCAGAACTTATTTCCTGATAGCACTGCTCCATATGGCTCTGTTTTGCTTGCCTTGACTGGAGGACTGTTTTGGCATGAGTCGGCAAGGGACTACTACAGTAGTTGAAATCACCTATTTTAGCTCAAGTGCCACTGGAACCCATGCACCTAGAAAAGACCAGGCAAAATAAGAAATCTTTGTTATTTTAATGTTAGCTGAGAAGTCATGCTGGATTCCAATACCTGCATGGAAGAGTTGGTGTCAGACAAATCCAGCTGTATTTGGCAATCATTTATCTCCACAAGTTAACTTCTCACATTTCAACCCACTGAAATATGACTTGAAGTGCTCTCATCACCGGACCAGTTGTCTCCTGTTTTCCTAATCTACGGGACATTTCCCAGGCTTTCTCTTACTTGACTTTACCTGCCTTGTACATGCTGATGCCTTCTCTTAGTGTCGGCCCTGTATATGTATGTATGTATGTGTGTGTGTGTGTGTGTGTGTGTGTGTGTGTATATATATATATATATATATATATATAAAACTACTTGCCAGACATCTCCCAGTCATTTCAAAGTCAGCATGTCTCAAACTTAATTCATTATCTTCCTCCCTTAGTCATACTCTTCCTGGGATCCTTGTCCCTGTTAATAGTGTTTACTCACCTTGGCTAGGAAACTTTCTTGTGATCTGGCCTTAGTATACCTGTCTGGTCTCATAAAATACCTGTCTCTTTTGCAGCCTTCTTTCCATTGATGCTGCTTTACGTTCTGTGCACACATCTGTTTCATACTTCCCAGCACCCCCACCCCACCCCCCACACACTGTCCCTCCTTATTCTGATTGCACTTACCTGGTGACTATACCTATTCACCTTTTAAAAACTCCATTCAACAGATACCTATTTGAAACTTTACCTCTGTAGTCAGAATTAGCCATTCTCATTTTTGTGCCCTCCCCATCCCACTACATGTCTATTAACCAAAGTTAGGGATGATTCACAAGACTACCATTACTAATTGCAAGTTAGGAATAGCCCCCAAGACCATTCTTAGGTTTGATAATTCACCAGAACGATTCACAGAATTTACTGAAAGCCTTTATACACGATAATAGTTTATCATAGCGAAAGGAAACAGATTAAAGTCAGGCAAGACAAATACATGGGGCAGAATCCAGGAAAGTTCCAAATATGGATTTTCTAGTTGTCCTCTCCCGGTGGAGTCATGCACAGCATTAAACTTTCTTGGTAACTGTATGTGACAATAGAGTATTGCCAACCAGGGACCTCACCTGAGCCTTGGTGTCCAACATTTTTATCAGGGCCTTGTCATAGTAGACCTAGTTGCCAGCCCCTCCAGTGCTCTAGCTGATAACGTGTAATTTAAAATCCCTGTTCCTAGTCACATTGCTGGACTTTTGGTATGGCCAAAGACCCCCAGGTAAACAAAGATTACTATTAGGTCATTCCAAGGGCTTTTAGGTTAATTCCCAGGAGACAAGGGCAAAGGCCAACCTTTCTCTGGGCAAGGTTAAATTCTTTACTACACACTATTACGTTGCAAACTTCTTCAGGTCAGGGACCTTATCTTTTTTTCTTTTTTTTAAAATAGTTTTATTTATTTTTAGAGAGGGGAAGGGAGGAAGAGAGAGAGAAACATTGATGTGTGAGAGAAACATCAATCGGTTGCCTCTCGCATGCTCCCAGCTGGGGACCTGGCCTGCAACCCAGCCATGTGCCCTGACCAGGAATCAAACAGGTTTTTCGGTTTGCAGGCTGGGATCTGGTCTTAATTCATCTTTAGATTCTTCATGGCACTTGTATCAATAAATGTTGGTTGAGTTAGTGAAATCATGAGCCGGAATGAGAAGACAGTTTGGAGGAGAGCTTCTTCCCTTCTCCCATGCACAAGAGGGGTGACCCTGAAGAGAGAAGGCTGATTGGAGGTGTGTGGCTGGCTGCTAAACAGGTGATTGGATATGATGGAGACTGCTAATATCAAGAACTATATTTAGTTCTGTGGATGCGATTAAAAGTATAGCCTAAAAACTTTGTACTGTGTACATTGGAGGAGGGAAAGAAACAATTTTCTTAGTTACAGACTTCCTTTCTAACAAGGGGATGAGTAAAAACCCCACAATATATTTATAAAGCAAATGTATCTTTTTTTTAAGCCTTCTGATATGCAGGGCAGGAAAAGCAGACTTCTTGCTTTGGTAAGATGAGGTGGTGCTTGAGTCCTATCCTGACTTGGGATTTTGTGATTATACC